TTTTTTTTTTTTTTTTTTTTTTTTTTTTTTTTTGACAGCAAAGTTGATTTCTCACTAAATTAAATAGAAATAGAAACTGGCAAACAATCTTAAGAAAGGTGCACTTCAGCACACAAAGCAGTAGGTGATGAAGCCAATTTATGCATTTCTTCATTCCCGTGAGGTACGTGAAACAGCAGGTACAATAACTGACGATGGACAAAAGAGCTCCACACTATCTACAAGCCATAATTGGTTTTGTACAAGTAAAAACACCAGTACTAGTCCTCTTAATCAGTAACTCCGGTTTTTTTGCAAATTATTATATGGAAGATCTTTGCTGCTATTGCCCCCAGGTCCGACCCCCCCGTGATAGGTTGGGAGCGGAGATCGGTGGTGATGCTGGCGACGACCATCGCCATGCTGTTGTTCTTGCCTAGCTTGAGCTTTTAAGTCCTTTGGTGTCATTTGAATTGTGCTGATTTGTTCCAAAGTCTCCAAAACTTTTTCCATATCGGGCCGGAGTTTTAGGTGAGGCTCGAGACACTTTATTATGAGTTCGGCTGTTCGATATGCAGCTTTGGATGGATACTGGTTCTGAAGACGGGCATCCATTATTTGTCTCAACTTTTTCTTATTTGGTAACGAAGGCTTGGCCCAATCTACCAAGTTAGTTTGACCACTAGGCCTATTTAGATCGAGGACTCGCAAACCTGTAATTATTTCCAATAATAACACTCCAAATCCATAGACGTCACTTTTTACATACAAATGACCTGCACACTCAGCACGACATGTCTCAGAAACAATTTTATAACTAACATCCTAAGATATAAGACAATACTCGATTCATAACTACCTGTAGCCATGTACTCAGGAGCTGCATAACCGTAAGTGCCAACAACTTTAGTCGAAACGTGTGAATTACCATCAACCGGGCCTAGCTTGGCCAGTCCAAAGTCAGAAAGTTTTGCATTGAATTCCTACAAATGACAGCAGAAAAATAAATCATATTTGAAATGACTTTATTTATTAGAGAACAAAATTAAAATCAGGATCATAGAATTTAACCTACCCCATCAAGCAAAATGTTTGATGCCTTAAAATCTCTGTATATGACTTTCTTTTCTGTAGTGTGCAAGAAAGCAAGTCCTTTAGCCGCTCCTATAGCTATTTTGATCCTTGCATCCCAAGATAGTGGTTCTCCTCCTCCTCCTGAAAATGTAACATCATCATAAAGAACCTCACAAGAAA